AGTACAGATGATTCTTGACTTATGATGGGGTTGTGACCCCAAGAAACCCACTGTAAGTGATAATATCCCAAGTCACCTGACCTATGAACATCCCTAGCTTACTTTACGCATGCTCGTGACATTGACAGTTGTGTGAACTCACCTAATACAACACCTATTTTACAATAAAGTGCTGAAGATCTCATGCACACAGACAGGTGTTTTGTAAGCATGACAGATTGCAGAGAAAAGATGGTATCAAAAAAACGCTGGCCACACAGTCCACTGCAGAGCAGGGACTGTTCAATATCAAGATCCCAGAGGCAACTGGGAGCTGTGGCTCACTGGCACTGCCTAGAGTTACAAGAGAGGATCAACTTCATACTGCTAGACTGGGAAAGATAAAATTTTAAAGTCTGATGTGTGAGTTCTACTGAAAACATATCGCCTTCACATCAGCATAAAGTTGAAAAATCATGAGTCAAGAGCTCATAAATTGGGGACCACCTGTGCCTCTATCATGTGGAACTTAGTTTTTTTTTTCCTTCATTGAGCTTATTGGTACATTTTAGGTATACAGTACAGTTAAAGTCATTTTTAGGATCTTGTTCCTTTACATGACAGGTCTTGGTAAGCACGTGGAACTTTAGACAAAGCTTTAGAGAGAAACCTAAGGGAAGTGGCTTAAAATGTCTATTTCAGAGAGGTCAGAATTAATTTTCAAAGTTACAATTAAAACAATCCATTTCAGAGGCTCCCTCATAGGCAAAGCAGATAGCTGACTCTATTCTTGCCATGGGTTTTAAGGTTCAAAAACAGATCAGGACCGGAGATGTAGATCAGTGGTGCTCACCCAGCAACCACAAGGCCTTGGGTTCCATCACTGGCATCATCTCAAAAAACAAAGGAAAGAACTCCAAAAATCAGACGTGGTTAGAAATGTGCATTTTTATCTTCGGGGAATGATTTGTTTATTCCGTGCCCTTCACAAGCAAAGGCTGCTGCATTGTACACATACAGGACTCATGGGCTGATATGGGAAAAATCACTGCCTGAGAATCGACATTGGGCATTTTCTTCTTTTGTTCACAGTTTCATTATTTTCTACATGACTTTCATTCCAAAACGAGTATCTTAAAATAGAGATTTTTTGCTGTTACACATTAAGCTGAGATTTTTCTTTCCTACCTGTCTTACACAATGGACAAAGTGATTTTTAGTGCCAAAGTTAGTTTAATGATATAGTCTGGTCTCTTAGGAATGATCAATTTGGGACAACTTAAAAACAAAAAACAATGCATTCTTTAAACAGATATACTTGTAGAAAATTACTACTAACTAGGCATAGTCACCAGCAGGGGTGTACTGGCTGATAGGGTGAGTGACACCTCTTGCTATTCAGAAACATTTGAAACAATTTAGGCTGCCATTCATGCTGGGGCTAAGATTTGCCTATGTAGCACAGGTCTGCTACTTATTTATGTGTTTATTATTTTTCCATGCAGCCTTTTCTTTAGGGACTCTCAAGTCAACTTTTGATAAATTCAAAATTCAATCATTCTCCAGTTTCCACTGTACCCCAATGACCTGGTAATCTGGCCTGGTTTTGAGATTTTTCAGACCCCATAGGAAGAATGATGCACTTCCAGTTCACTGCTGGGCTCATGGATTCTCTTGTCAAGAGTATCTTGGCATTTTTGGAAAAGGGACTGAACTCAGAAAATGAATACACTGTTTTGAATTGTGACTCGTTTCTTTTTGTACTTCATTTGCCAGTCCACGTTTTGCTTGTATGAATTATCCATGTGGAAACCCTGCTAAAACCTGATATCTGGCCTCTTCCAGAGGTTTAGCAATATAGGACATATGCTACATTATGTGAGGGAAGACATACAGTGAGGGGGCTGTACATAAAATCCATACTGCACAATGAGCCCGGGAGCTGGGCAAACAAGTTACGGAACTGCTCTGAACCTCAGTTTCCTCTTCTATACAATGGGCATAACGAGAGCATTTCCCCAACTGGAAACCATGAAATTCAATAAGGTTATACACATAAAAAAGGAGAATGGGAATTGGCCCACACTGTATCATCAGTTAAGTACTTCTCATGTGATTCGTAACAAAAGCACAGGTAAGTAGCCTCATCTTACGTTTTGAGAAAAAGTCTCGCTATGCTGCCTATGCTTTTCAAGGCTGGCCTCAAATTCATGATTCTCCTGCCTCAACACCCGAGTAGTTGGAGCTACAGATACACATCAGTGCACAGCTGGTCATGTTATGCTTTCATTCTGGTTTTTTGTAGTTTATGTTTGCAGTATATAATAGTGATGCTTGTTTTGGGGAATTGGTACCTGCATATAACACATCCTGGCCATTTCTGATCCCTTTATTCCCCCTCTATCTTACCTCTCCCTTACCCCTGATCTTTTAGGCTTTTTTTTTTTTTTTTTTTTTTTTTTTTTGGGGGGGTG